AGTATAATCAATCCATCTTCTCCACTCCAGTTTATATCTCTCGTTTGAGTGGTCTTTGAAATATGCTGATATTTTAACCATCTCTGCTAGGTTTGTTACTTTCAATGTCCATTCTTGAATAGTAGGCAAAATCTTCCTTCTTCCAGTATTGCTCCACTTAGAAAGTTCTAATCATTGTGGGGCACAAACGATTGTTGCACAGTTGATGTCGGATCTGTTTTATTTTTACTTTTTTAAGCATTGTTTTTACTACAGGTTCAGGCGAATCGGCCCGAACCGGTAGCGTTTCACTCCTGGTTTTAGGACAAGCCTCTTCCTCTGAGCCTGCTCCCTTTCTCCTTGGCTCCTGAGCAGTCAGCTCTTGCCACCTGTGATGCAATAGAGCAGGGGTGTCAAACTCAATTTCATTGAGGGCCACATCAGGGCCGTTGTGGTTGACCTTGGGGATGGAGGTGGGGCTGACTGGGTGGGGGTGGCCAGCCTGACGCCACTCACTGGGCGTGGCCAACTGGGTGGGGGTGGCCAGTTGGGAGGTTTGTGGCCAGCCTGAAGCCGCACCCCAAACTGCTGGCATGTTTCCTCTTTGCATTGGGCATTGGGTGTAACCGGGCAGAAGCAACGCTGGCTGGCACTTACATTTTCCAGGACAGCCCTGCGGGCTGGATCTGACCACATTGCAGGCCGGATCCAGCCCATGGGCCTTGTGTTTGACACCCCTGCAATAGATTCATTTCTGACTTAGTTTGATTTCCCTTCCCTTTGCATTCACCAAGTGAGACATCCTGCTCAAACCCTCCCAGTTAATTTCTCCTTCACCTTCTGCCTCCTACAGTACAAACAAGTGGAACAGTACATGTCCTTCCACAAACTTCCAGCTGAGATGCGCCAGAGAATCCATGACTACTATGAACATCGGTACCAGGGCAAAATGTTTGATGAGGACAGCATCCTTGGGGAGCTGAACGAGCCTCTGCGAGAGGTAAGTCTCATCCACACCCACAGAAAAGGGAATGGGCCATAAGAAGGTGGAGAAGCAAGGGGTAGATCTTGGCTGAAGGTCTTCATTGTCCAATAGTGGAATTTAACAAAATAACAGAGTTGGAAGGGACCTTGGAGGTCTTCTAGTCCAACCTCCAAGCTCATGCAGGAAAGCGTGTACTATTTCAGATAGTAAATGGTTGTCCAATCTTTTCTTAAAAACCTCCAATGTTGGAGCATTCACAACTTCTGGAGATAAGTTGTTTCCCTGTTTAATTGTCCTCACTGCCAGAAAGTTTCTCCTCAGTTCTAAGTTGCTTCTCTCCTTGATTAGTTTCCATCCATTGCTTCTTGTCCTGCCCTCAGGTGC